GGCCCCTACAGGGCCGCTATCATCCCCGCGCCCGACTCCGGCCCAACTCCAAGTCTAGCGCTGCTACAATACCATCGCCGCTATCGCGGCCCTACGCTCTTTCCTTTATTTATCTGTTATTGTTTGTTTTGACCCTCGGTCATTGCCGGCCGCTATGCGGCCAACCCCGCTCCTTCTTCTTGTTTGCTTCCGGACCCTTCGGCCTCCGGCCCGGGTCCGCTTCCATTCATTTCTTCTTCCTATATATATCCTGTATGATACTTTATTGTACCTTAGCTCTAATATCGATATGACCACGACCCCTAAGTCCTGACCCCAACAAGGCAACCCCAGTGAGTCCGAAATGAGGGCCAAGAGACAGCTAGGGGGCACAGCACTCCCTTTAGAGTTGCTGAGGCCAAATGCCCTACCCCCGGGCCTTGTTCGTGGCATCACAGCCATCGCGGCCTATAGCAGCCTGCATAGGTGACCTTCGGTGCCGACCCCGGACCAGTGTCTAACAAGCTGCTACAAATGGGAGCCAGGAACTATACAGTTTTCGGCTCTTTGCTGACTTTCCATAATTGGCACCCCCCCGTGGGAAGATTCTGGGCGAGCTGCTCGCCCAGAAAGTTCCCACGGTTGTGGCTGTGATGGTTTCTGGGCAAGTAACTCACCCAGAACGTTCCCATGGTCTGCATGCATGCAGGATTGTGGAACAGTGAAGGGAAAAATAGGAGAAAATGGGGGAAGGGTACCTGAGGGTGTGTGGGGTCAGGGGCTGTGCCCTGACACTAGGTGAGCTTCGTCGATCACACAGAATCCCAATTTATTTTTGAAGATCCTAGACCCAAGCAACCCCTTGAAGGCAAGTGTGTTTATTCTTTCTGGGGCACATCCTATAATGTCATACATCCCTGACATTGCTTCCTTCCAGAGGTCACGGGGAGGTTCACACTGCAGCACCTCCATGCATGACTCCTCATGCAGTGCTAGAAAGCGCATTCCTTTAGCGCATGCATTCAGCTCCTGATGAATCATTGTTAGCAAAGGTGGTCCCACTTAAGGTATGGGGAAATGGCCCACTTGATCATCCATCAGTGCACGGGTTGGGTATATCACTAAGGTAATGTGGGGCCTGTTCATTATTGTCCATGCCATAACTGAGGCCAGCATGAGAATAGTTTTCCCACTTCCGGTTGAAGAGGTTAGGAATGTTGGAATAACCATCAGGGATGGAGTAACCTCCCTGGCATAACGGGTGAGTAGTGTATGGATGCACACTAGAGGTCCTGGGTTCGATACATCAGCAAAAGTCCGTTATGCTCCGGAGCATCAGGAGTGGCTGGAGCATGTGGGAGACAAAACAGCAGATTGGGCACTCCTGGAGCCAATAGTGTTCTCCTGGGAGGGGGGTTCAGGAGCAGCTGGGAGTGGTGAGGAGTATGCAATGTGCCAGGAGCAGCGGGAGGAAAATTTTGGTCTCTAAGAAGTTGAAAAAAAATTTAGGGAAAAAATCAAAAAAAAAAATTCAGGAACTGTAGTGCCTTTAAAGTGCTTTCAGGACCTATAATTATTTGTGAAATTGAGGAAAAAATGATGGAGAAAAATGGAAAATACTTTTGGAGACCTGAGAAGTAATGAGAACTGAATTGATGGAAAGTCTGAAAATTGAATAGGAAAGTGAGGGGAAGCCTTGTAGCATTGTTATTTTCTGCTGTTCTGATTTTTCCTGATTGTTCTTGGTCTCACTCCCAGCTGCTCCTGGACCCTCCCAGGAGCTTTCAGGAGCTTCCAGGAGTATTGAGGAGCAGCTGGGAATGAGACCAAGAAGAATCGGGAAAAATCAGAACAGCAGAAAATAACAATGCTGCAAGGCTTCCCCTCACTTTCCTATTCAATTTTCAGACTTTCCCATCAATTCAGTTCTCATTATTTCTTGGGTCTCCAAAAGTATTTTCCATTAGCTGCTCCTGGACCCTCCCAGGAGCTTCCAGGAGTATCCAGGAGCAGCTGGGAGTGAGACCAAGAAGAATCAGGAAAAATTAGAACAGCAGAAAATAACAATACTACAAGGCTTCCCCTCACTTTCCTATTCAATTTTCAGACTTTCCCATCAATTCAGTTCTCATTATTTCTCGGGTCTCCGAAAGTATTTTCCATTTTTCTCCATCATTTCTTCCTCAATTTCACAAATAATTATATATCCTGAAAGCACTTCAAAGGCACTACAGTTCCTGATTTTTTTTTTTGATTTTTTCCCTAATTATTTTTTTCACTTTTTAGAAGTCCCTATTTTTCAAATCTTCCTCATTTCCCTCTATATTCCCCCCTCATTTCCCCCTCATTTCCCCCCTCATTTCCCCCCTCATTTCCCCTCCTCCACATTCTGCAAGCCTGAAAGTGATTAAGTTGCCAGATTAATCATATATCAGGCCATAAATTTTGACTGTGTATTGGTGAGTCTCAGTGTCCTTGATGTATAGTATAGTGTTTGATCTAAATGTTAAGTAGTGTCTTGTTGTGTTAGTCTTGTAGTAGGAGGTATTCATGGGGAATCTTCCCTCTTTTTTTCCTTTTCATTTTCAAATGCTCCAGGAGCTCCCAGAAGCTTCTCACCTGTCAGAGACCAGATTCGAGACGAGGGAATGTCTCTGTAGTGGAGGGCTTCGGCCTCAGCGACTTCTGCCAAGAGCGCTGTGCCTAGTGACACGTCCGTGCCCTAACTTACTGACTGGCAATTAGAACCTAAGGGGGGTAACTCTAGTTGATTTTATTACTGGAGTGTAACCTATGTACAAGCGGGATATATATATGGTTACAGCGAAGACAGGTCCGCAATTGGTGGAGCCAAATGGAGCGGAGCTAACGGGGTTAAACATTAGCCGACTGAATATTACCGACGAGTCGGGTTGCGGGGTTAGCGGAAAGGCAGGCGATAACCCAGAAACGGAAAGGAGGGATAAGCCCAAAGGTGGGCTCTGCAGGGCAGGCGATTGTATTGCCCAGCGGAGGTGGGGGTGCGCTAGCGGATGTCGGAGCTGTCCGGAAGTCTTCGGGGCTCCGTACTTAGGGAGGCGTAGGTAATAAGTTGAAATGAGGGGGTGGTGACCATTGAGGGGTGCCGAGAGGATTGCGGAATACGGGAGCTCCGAGGTTAGTGAAGGAGGAGCGGAGTTAGACCGGAGGGAACGGAGGGACCGGAAGTTGATGGCCAGGAATGGATATGACATCACCCATATACATTTTGAAGCATTTAAATTGTATTTACTGGATATGTTTGTGCACAAAGTAATGCTCCATGCCCTCCTGGGAGTGCCCTGGAGTACCTGGCCAACTCTGGAGGAAATGAGCTGTTCCTGGACCGGCCAATCTCCTCCTGATTTTCCCAGTGCTCTCCATACTCTGGAGCACTCAGGAGCATAACAATTTTTTGCTGATGTACCAGGCTTGTCCATTTTATGTCATTTGTCCAGTCACCTGGTTTACCTCAGTTGAATTCATGACATAAGTCTATAGCGCTAGCAGTGTTGAATTTCTTCAAGGAACACATCTGTCCCATTATACAAGTGGAGTGTGTTTTCCACCTGCCACGGCCTTGGAGAAGAGAAGCAAATCCAAACCAGTTTCGGATGATTGCTTCCATCCAAGCCTCACTTCCTGGATGGAAAAGTGCCACACTCTGCTGGAGAGACAGAATTCTTTCTTCATATGGGGCTTCCATCTTCCCGATCGGCATCATTCTGCTAGCATGCGATGTTGATCGATAACAATGAGAGTGTACAAAAATAGAAGTTGTTCCGGCATTGAGTCCATCACATCAATGCTACCATTTTGGGACATTTAAATACATTTCTGCACCTTAACGCAAATTGAAATTTGACCCCTATTCAGATGGTCGAGTCGGGTCCTTGACTAAATAGATGCCATGAGTCAGAGCGCATAACGCACACTGCTAAGAGGCTCGTGACACATGAGCCAGTGCAATGGACACATCAAGTGACTACGGAAGCTGTTACAGTTTAGCCGTAACCCCGAGCGGGAGTGCGGGAGTGGACTCGACAGACGTCTCACGTGTCTTGCCTATTTCAGTTCCGTCTCAATTCATGTAGCTTTGCAACTACCTGTATGACTCGGATGTCTCTCTTGTTTCACCTTGCATGTGTTAGCCTGTTTTCATGTATATAAGGAGTTGACCAGTGAAGACGGATTCTTCAACTGGTCAACACAGGTCGCCAACCTGAATTGACTTCTTGTGATCTTGTGACTTGTGGCTCGTGATCTTCTCGTGACCTCGCTTCTCGTGATCTCACAACTCTCGCTCCGTTCTGCTCCGTTCTCACGCTCTTAGTGCCGAGAGGTTTGTGACAGAAGCAAAGATGGGTTCAGTGGCAAAACACAATATTGATATATTGGCAAACACCCAGTTTTTGAAAGTTGACCTGAGCCTTCTCAAGCTCCATATACTGGTGAATCGTCAATACAACAATGCAAGGGCGATCTGCAGCTTTGGGTCCAGCCACAAGGGCAGTGGCAGATCACTGAGTTGAAATTGGTCAGACCCATCTCCCAGAGGAACCAGAGGACGAAATTGGAACCAATTCGACCTATTCCATTTTGGAAGCAGTTCCCTCAAATTCGACTTCGGAGCAGAACAGCTAGCCATGTAGATTGGGAACCGAGTGTCAAGATGTTTGTTCCACCATGGTCCAAGATGCATGAGCAGGATTGTAAACGATCATTGCTTATGCAATGCACAATTCATTATATAACCAGATTCTCTGCACCCTCCCTTTAGAACCATGTTATGCAGACACTAGAAGCCATATATTCAACATTCATATTCCGTTACAGTATAAAGTTCAGAGCCTAGCATTAGATATCTCCAGCATACCTGTATTACCCTCGCTACAATGGCAGCTGCCTTCATTAGTGTCATCCTTGCTGAAAGCGTTCACGCTGCGGCTATCCAACAATACCCTCCACTCAACGACACGGTCATTCCCCAAAATGTCTCGGAGAGCTGTGAGGACCTGCGTCATTGCCGAACAATGTGGAGCGTGGTGTACAGCTGCCTCCTCACGGTGTTCGCCTGCATTTGGACAGCATTTCATCCAGATGTGGAAAGTAATTCTACTCGGTCGAGACTGGGTTCTCATATAAGCCGGATGCTCAATATACTGGTCTTGCCAGAGTTTGCTGTTGGTGAGGCATGGCATGATTTTTCCATGGCTTGCCGCATATCGAAAAAGTGTGATGAAATTCAAGGTTTGTTAAACTAGCCCAGTTCAGTTGAAGCCTGACTTGGATTTTTCACCAGGATGGACGCATGCTCATTCACATTTCGTTGTTATGGGTGGTTTCTTCGATCCGTCCAAACAGAAAGCTGTGGTACCAGACAAGGATGAGGATCCTGTTGCCCTCTTTGAGAAATACCCTGGCATAATCGGCAAGTCAGGAGATCGCAGGAAGGTCGCAATAAACGAGGAGCAGATCCTTGACAAAAGTAAAGGGGACCATTTCTCAAAGTCTATTGTCACCATCCAGTTGCTATGGTTCACCGCTCAATACATTGGACGATGGGCGGCTCATATACACAGGTCACAGCTTGAAACAACAACTCTCGCTTACGCAGTACTCAGCATCCTTGCTTATGGGTTGTGGTGGCATAAACCACTGGATGTGCATCTCTCAATCCATGTGACGGAAGATCCCAATGCCGATCAAGTGCTGCCCATAACCAAGACTGTGGCAAATCCGAATCTCTTCAAAGTCCTCAAAGCGAGGATCATGGAGATAGATTCCTGGTCGATATTTGGGGTCACTGGCGTCTCTTTGGTGGGCTCCATTGTTTGGCATGGTCATTCCAATTTTTGGGGGACGGGGACAGATATTTGTGGCGTGCGTGTGCCGTAGTTATCACAGTGACCCCTATGCCTATTGTATGGGTCGTAAAAGAAGCAGGGAAGGGGAATCGTGTTGCCACTGTATGCTTTGCTTCTTGTATAGCGCTGCTCGGGGTAGCTTGCTTGTCATTGCGTTCCTGTCTTTGGGATATGTGCCCACCGATTTTTACAGAACAATTCCTTGGTTGTTACAGGAATGGGTTCCGGGGAACCCAACCTGAGCCGTTCGGCTCACTAATGGAGGTGACTGCGTAGCCATCGGAGGGAGAGCGGAATGGGATGAGTGTCTGGCAGTGTAACCTGTGTGTCGGCCAACGGTAACTTGGCGCTCCTGGGAGCGTACCGGTAGCGAGTATGATGTGGGCTCCTTGAGGGAGCCACCTGGCTGTCTGCTAACGGGGACTTGGCGCTCCTGGGAGCGTGCCGGTAGCGGGTGTGCTGGGAGTGTGTGGCTAGCGGTGACTTGGCGCTCAATGGAGCGTACCGGTAGTGAGGGATACTGGGACTCCCTAAGGGAGTCACCCAGATGGTGGCTATCGGTGACTTGGCGCTCATGGGAGCGTACCGGTAGCGGGAGTTGTTGGGGAAAGCGGGCTGGTGGACCAGTGCACGGTAGTGGGTGACCGTGGGAAGTGGGACCCGCGGGTGCATGGCCAGGCATCCTGGAGCTGCCTGGACCGTATCCTTCTCCTGAGGAGGTGGGATAGGTTACTGTTCCTGATAGGGAACTTCTGGTTGGATGGGAGTAACCACTCGACCACCCGGTGGACTGGTGGGAGTGGGCAGCAGGAGGTTGGGCGTGGGAATGCCCACCTCGTTGCGGTTTTGTCATAGAGAGGAGGAATAGGGAGGTGGACATGGTTCCAGGGTTACAGGTTGAGTTTACAGTGGTGGCACAATGGTGAGGATGTTACAATTGCGGTACAAGGTTTTAGGGTTATGTATTCGATAATGAACAACATCCTCGGCATTTGCCTTTACATGTCATATGACTGGTTTCTATCTAATATCAAAGTCTCAATGGTCAAGGGAAGTCCCTTGAAACTTAACAATTCCCCCAGCCAGCACCAAAACCCAGTGGGAAAGCTTGGCATGGAGTTTGACAGAGAAATATAATGGAGGGCAGAGACAACCTACCTACTTGCAGTCACAGACCATAAGAATCTAGTCCATCTCTATAACATTGGTCCTCATTTATTCCTCACCTTGGATAGCATAACGGCAGCTGCACAATGTGTATCCAATATATTATCGTGGCATGCATAGTGAACTTGGTCATGGCGGTGCCCACTAAGGTTCTGGGAATTACCAATACATGTGTGCAGGAGTACGTGAGAGCTCCTGGCCTTCGACTGGCAGCTGCCAGTGGCACAAGGCAAACTTCATTCCACTCCGCACTGGCCATTCCTTCATTACAAAAGATCCCTCCCAGATGGGGCCCCGAGATTCAGCAGCGGAAGAACACGGAAACTCATCTTGCTGAACTGTCCGTTATAATGATGATGCCCACCGAGACATACCGCAAGACATAGACGGAGACCTAAATCTAACCGACCTCTTCGAGAAGGAAGACAGAAGCCTAAGGGTTGCTAGCCTCCTGAACACGAGCGGAGCATACAAGAGGAAATCAGTAGACGAATATATATAGACCCCTGATCCCAAGAGATAACGCCCTGGAAGGTTCTTCTTCGAAAACCGGTGGCATAACATCCGAACACATGCAGGTGGAGACTCCCCAAGGGAACGGTTAGGAAGATACTCAGACAAAGGGATGAGACTCCCCAGATCGGTAGGTTACCAACCTCTATTGGGATAGACCAGATTGGATGCATCACTTATTTTGTACTTTATTTATTTCGAGACCCTGTACAAGTACTGATGTAAACAGTGTTCCAAATATGGCCACGCATCTCCCAGCGGCCCACTCGTAGTAGTCAGGACTCCAACGGCTATGACTTCATAACACACTCGTAGCACAGATGCAAGAGGGGGAAAAACTACGTAATGCAACACCTGTGCGGATGGCACACATGGTAAAATCCTCCGCATTAGCCTCCACAATGCACCCCGGATATCTAGAACTACACATACACATACACACACACAAACTCCATCCAGCAAAATGAAAGAGCGGATTAAGACAAGCTACTTTGAGAGAACCAGTATGAGGACACCCAGGACTACGAGCGAGACGAGCGTGATTACTTGCACTCAATATAAACTAGCAAGCACACTGGAGTCAGACAAGGTACGGGTTGGTGGGAAGCAGGTACAATCTGAGTAGAGCCTAGCGTTTCTCCACATCGCTCATCCTGAAAGCACAATCACCTCTCATGAAAACTCTTAGGATGCAATGAGTGGGCGTCGGCTACAGTGTACCAACTTGAAGGCTAGTCAAACAGCTTGTCGTTCTCCAGCCAACATTCAAATTGTTCTCCAAGTCTGCACCCAATTTTCCTCTTGATCAAGCGCCAGTCTCCAGACAGCGCCTTGAAAGTATAAAAGGTCTATGGCACACACTAGGATTAATTCGGAAGCGTCCCAGGATATCCCATTCAATTTGGCTGGGTGTTGTGCAGCTGCCACTGTGGGATGGTTGAGTAGCTCGGAGCACCTTGGGGTGTACAGCGGTCCAGGCACAGGCAAAGATGGTCAAGAGACAAATGTATATGAGAGTCCACATCGTGCCACAGGTAAGATGCCAGTGTGGCGTGGGAAATTCCGGCAAAATGGTGGGGGACGTGGAGATGTGGCATCAGAACAGAACACAGGAAGGGGTAAACATGTTGGGATATGGCGGTGGCAGTATTTTTGTTCTCCCTGGAGATCCTACACCACTTGTCTGCTCTGTCCGTTCCCCTCATGACAATGTACAATGCTCGTTATCGCTCAACAAAAGCCAACCATATGTTCACACCAGGACCGAAAGATCATATCGTCCTCGAAAGTGCTCTCTGTCCATTTTGGTGATCTTCCAGTAATCGCCTGAGGAGAGGATGTTCTTGCAGCACGTTCATAAAGCTAGGTACTCCTAGTTGTACTCCTAGTGTACTCAACATGATCACCGCTTCCAACATCACAATGGACCCGAACTGCACCGGCCAAACTAGGTCGTGGTACAAGACCAGCAGTCCTACCATCTTGTCTGACTGTCCTGTCACAGCCATCCAAAAATTTGTACGCAATGTCACTGTGTCCCAAACCAGGAATATCTACTAGAGAGTTAGAAGGAGCGAGGACAGGCTTTGTTGGGTTTGAGTTGCTGTCCATGTAGCCTCCGCCAACATGCCTGAGGCAACCATTCCATTGAAGAGAGCTGGGGACTACTGTTTTGAGGGAGTGTAGAGTCTCAACTATTTCATCGCCTTTGCGTCTGCTTATTGATACTTCTCCGACTCCTCTGCTGATCAACAGGGAACGGATCCATGTCTTAAAAACTGTAGACAGATGATCGGTTTATTCTAACACACGTCGTGAGTCCGCAGTTTTGCGTGGTCATTCGCCATGATCATTTGCTTACGTTCCCTCTGTGTTCATCACATTCACCCCTAACGCCAGATATCTACCCTTTCATACCCGGTGGAATCACAATGCCATAGCCTCTCATTTGAGTCCCTAGCATTCTGCCTGGCTTGCTGGCCATACGCTTGCTATATTTCTCTCATTTCCGCCCCAATCACACCGCCCCACCAACGGTGATCATGCGGTACCTCCCTCCCTATTACCACATGCGCTCGCACCCTTGGGTTTGGGGCGGTGGGAGTAGACTTCAACAAATCCTCGACTTCAAAATGCTGGCCTTCCCCGTCCAGAGCCCTTGTTCTCAATTTCCGATTCCGTCGTCCGGCTCCAACCAGTACCCTGGGACTGTGCCCCATCTGGTGCATTTTTATGGCCGTTTTTGGGCTTCTCCATATCTCTGGAGAACTACTTAACTTGTGCCTGGCGATTACCCCCTGGGCACCTCATTAGAACTTAATCTCCACACTTCTGTAGAGAAACAGCTTGCGTATCGCTTGTGGCTTTGGACTAGTATGCAGTAGTTTTAAACGTTGGAGTATTCACTACCTGTCAAAGCCTTTCCGTCATGCTCCACTCTCTATCTCTTGTCAACGACAGACCTCTGTTTGTGTTCCTGGGGAGGAAATGCACTTGAAAATTCAAACTCTTGGCATTGTCCACTCGCGATGCTATGCTTCCCTCTAAATTTCTGAAATATTTTTACCTTGGCTGCGACCAACGATCAGCTTTGTTGAGCTTCTGAACGAAGGCTCAGAACAACTTCAACCGGGGAGTTCCAGGGAGAGATGAATAATGCACTGGGAACGATCGACAACTTGACTAGCATGGGATTTTTTTGGAGTACGTTGATGGAACAAGAGTATGCATTATGAAGCTTGACAGGCAAGTGATGTGTATTCTGGAGGGATAATCGATTTCAGCAACATGGCCCCTGCACAGTGCACTGTGTGCAGGACAATCTGGAATCCTGTCGATATGCTGAAGGGAATGGGACAAAGCCCGCATTGACGATCCTGATGTCTTGCGTAAGGTATCCAGGTGAGTCGCAGGCCTAGATGTTTTCTCCACTGGTTGTTCTCGTTGACTCAGTCAGACTACACGAGTGTATCCATCAACGCGAAACTGACAGGTGTGCGAAGGTGTGCGATCGCATCGTTAGTCCCATAGCATAATATTAAAGGGCCGACCGCAACGTCGTTAAACTAGCAAGCGTGAGATGACACCTAAGTACAATAAACTCAACACCGTAACACAACTCAA